AACGCGTACCGGGACGGCGACCGCCGACAGCCTCTCCGTCTCGCGACGGCCTTTAAGTTCGCGCCGCCAAAAGTAAAGGCCGGAACCCGACGACGTAAGCGTCCTTCGATAACCGGAGACGTCCGCTGCGTGTTCCTAAATAGTCCTTGCCCGACTGACGCACGTGCGCGTCGAAAACAACGCATAATCGTGACAAAGGCGAATCCGTAGATTCGAACTCCGAACGATTTCGGGACGTCGCTAAGGACACGGATTTACGCTCGCGAAATCAAACGGGACATGATATGAGTTTTGTAACAGGCCAACCTGGCCACAGTGTCTGTTTAGAAAAATTAAAAATAAATATTAAATGTCAAATAGGTGTTTAATATGAAAATAAAACTTTAGTATGGATGTAGTAGTCTTACATATATATGTATGTATGTATGTATGTATGTTGAAGGAAACCAGTGTATTTCGAGAAAAATGATAAGACTAATTAAATTAAAATAAATATTAAAAACAACTGTAATATGGAAATAAAATTTTTATATGTGTAAGGTAGTAGCGTCATTTACAGTATTCATACCTACTCTATCCTGATGCGATCAAATTGTATATATTAAATTTTTGTACCAATCGTATGATGCCGGGAAGTTTAAATTCGATTTACATCGACAGTTGGACGTCTCAAATATCATTTTTATATTATTTTTCTGTATTTTATTGTAATTTCTCGCGACCTGATAAATATAATCCGATAAAATGGTCGATAAACTGACTTCTGGTATACATTCCACTTTTCCTGGGAACTCCATAAGTACATTCATAATATTTCTTTAACTGCTGTACTCGTCTTTTACAACTGCAACACGATCTCTAGGGACAACACCGGTCGTCTTTCACTGTCAAGGGGGTAGCGAATAATGTAATTATGATTTCGTGAAAGTGTTGGCCGTTATCCGAATCGGAATATCTTACAGTTACAATAATCAGAGTAATAGCAGGATGGGAAACCTTCCCGTAAATATGTCAGTTCATAAAACATTTGAACTGACACGTTCAAACAGTAGTCACTGAAGGTATAAACTATTTTCCATGACAGCAGCAGCTACATCCAAATTAAGTACAAATGATATAATTATGTTTATGACGTGATATTCCTGTTTCTAGACTAATTTCGAAACAAACGTTTTATAAATATATACATATACATATATTATAACAATTTTAGACATGCTGTGTTACGTAAGTGCCCTCAACGGAATTTTATTTACTTACATATAACGTGAATTATACGATAAAGAAATTTATAATCAATCATACGTATTACATGTAATAATTTAACCTCAATTCATACGTTTTAGAAATCATTTAAATAAATAAACATTTTGTTAAATTAGAAAAGATACAAGAGAAAGAAATGATAATGCAAATGTTTAATAATCATTTTTTGATGAAATAAGATATTTATTGCTAGCCGAATACAATAACGTATTCGTCGTTTTAGATTAAAATGTTACACGTATGAGGTTATGTTACGCTTCGCGGTTATAATTTCTAGGGTTATTTTGCTTGTTTATAAACGTGAACATTACTCTATATGTGTGTATATATAATATATAACATTTTATATATATATAGCATTAATTACAACAATAATAACTACTTTACAGGTTATAAATTGTTACTATACTATTGTTTAATTTAATTTATTTGCAGACAACGGATTCAGAGATCGGAAAACGATAACATCCTCTCTCTCTATCTAGCAGTATTTCGATTCTCCGGCAACAGATGGCGCCACGTGTACTTACATTCACAAACAACCCTTTTACGCGATACATTAATATTTTTTACATATCCATCAATAATGACAATAATTAATAATTATTGTAATAAAATTTATATCGTGTATCAACGGTTATTATCAGTTTTTTTAAATAAAATCTTTTTCGGAAAAACAATTGTTTTATACGCTAATTCGGATCGATGGCGATAGATGGCGCCACGTGTACGTACATTCACAATCAATCCATCCGTGCGGTACATCGTTATTATTCACTCGCGTTAATTGCAACAACAATTGTTATAACAATTAATATTCATACGAACGATAAATGGTGACCGCTGCACGATTAACTGCATGTTTTATTTTTATGTGTGGATAAGCCCTCTCTCTCTCTATTTATAGCAGTATTTCGATTCTACGGCAATAGATGGCGCCACGTGTACATAAATTTACACATCTTCCGTTCGAAAAAGAGTTAAGTAGGAGTAATAATATTAGGTTCGTGTTAACACTTATTCGCAATGATAACGTTTAATCACTGTAATCGTGTAATTGAATATTGTTTTCGAATCCTTCGAAACCTATTTTGCCATATTTCAACCCGTCGCCCTTAGATGGCGCCACCTATTCATATACATATAATTGTTATATGCGAAAAAATGGTAGGTGTTTGTAATAACATCAATTGCATCGATTACTCTTAATCGAGGTATGTGAAATAAAAGTACTTTACATTCAAACCATTTCAAATACAGTTTTTTCATTTCTCCTGTGTACGAAGGCAGACGTTACATGAAAAAAATGTCTTCGCATATTTAGTGTAGCGCTAGTCGACAAGCGATGGCCGTAATGCATTTCTACAACACCTTACATACGTTTTACTTCGCGGTGTGTTCCGAAATACAGGCCGAGCGGTTAGGTTTATATGTCCCATTACACTCGTTCCCACCAAGCCAGTCAACAGATGTGGGATAACAGGCGGTAGACGGATAACTGCAACCGAAGTGAAGCAGCATTGTTCCGGGTCAGCAACGGTGCGACGCCTGTGGACGGACCATTATCCAGCAAGACCGGAAGCGCGACGTGTTCGCCGATCACATAGAATAAACCTACAACATTTATACCAGTACATGTGCAGTTGACAGTGGCAGAGTCCCCCGAAACGTCTGATAACAATAGGTTTCCAGTATGAACACACATTGCTACACTACACACTAGGCCTGTGATTAGTGACCACTCATCAAGCGAAAGGCCGGAGAAGAATAGCCTGCAGCAAGGAAAACCGACACGGTGTCCAGCAGCAGAGTGCGCGGACGTTGCTGCATACGACGGTACAAGATTGCGGTTTAGGTGCGTGTCCGTTCTTGCCGATACTAGCAACGGCGTTCGATCGCGTAATTCATATATATATCAGGCGGGAATGATGATCGGCTGCGACATAGAGCTCGGTTTATTACTTACTACCTGCCAACGAACTGCAGACTCCAGACTGGACAGGGAGCGATAAGGCATTCGCTGAAATCATTCTACGTTTGCTCGGCTTTGCTCACACTGTTGAAATTGGTTAGGGGAACCATACAGACCCGGGAAGGCAAGAGCGCCACGAGATGCGAGGTAATGATGTTACAAGTCGAAGAGGGAGATAATACGGACAGTTTTAAGAACGAGTACAACTCACACCTTACGTAGGCCCAGTCGAAAACAAGGAAATACACAGAGAGTTACCAGGTGAAAAGCCTCCAGACGTCCTTGGAGCCTGAAGTTCGGGGTAGAGATGTGAAGATTAAGAATTCGCCATTGATATGTCGGAACGAGGCTATACTGTTCAGTATCTTAAACTTTAAACGGCCGTACATTAAAGAGTGCAACTCACACCTAATATACTCACTGTCGACAGGAAGGAGAGACAAACAATAGCTGTACGGCCTCCAGACGTCGACAATTCACGTGCCGCCTCCAGTTTGGGTTTCACGACGTGGAAACGGAAGAGTCAGATTTTGGCGAACGCTACGTCACAACGATGCAAAAGAGTTTAGTATCGTAAACGTTAAGCACGGAAGAGTCAGAATTAGGCAACGCTATGTCGAAACGATGCAAAACAGTTTAGTATCGTAAACGTTAACTGCGCGAACGAAACAAGATACTGTATTCGGAGATACGCCGCCTCGACTGCAATCGGTTACTTATAATTAAATTGCCGTACTGTCTGGTAGGTTCTACGGCGTTGGTTCGACGAGTTCCGATTACATGCGTCGATAAGGGGACGCTGGGACATCGCCGAAAACATTAGCTAGCCCTGGTCAGCCGGAGGAGAGGGCTGGGACGGTGTTGTCAATTGGAAATGCAAACAGTGCCGATCAACATGGTCTAGGCATTTCAAAGCGAACGATGTCGAAGTAGAAGATCGACAGGGAGTAAGGGTAGTGTGCCTTTGCACGGTGTCCGAAAGCAACGCCTAGGTGTCGGTTTGCCCGTATAGCCGCAGACAGAGAAGCGACAGAAGGAAGGCCTGTACCGACTCGATCAGTGCAGTTGTTCCGAGACGTTTACGAAGTTGTGGAACAGACAAAGTGTCCCAGAAGGGCTCATATTGTATCAACTAGTCCCTATGCGAGGGCACATAAAAATTTGACTAGTCCCTATGTGAGGGCTCATATGCTTTACGTATTTAGTGTAGTCTGTATGAAATTACCAAAATTGATTATATTAGTAAGTATTAGTTGTTAGTATAGAGCAGTGCTGAGGTTAGCACTGGTAAGTTAGAGTGCTACCAGCTTAGGCTAAATGCATACAAGGCAAAAGCCAGTACAGTAGAACCTCGTAAACTCAGCCTAATGTGGACCGAAGGGTGGCCGAGTTTGTGAAAATGCCGGGTTATCGGGAATGGGGTTAAAAAAAATAAGTACGAGTGTTTCCTCAGAAAATACTGTACTGTACTTGTATGTATTGTTTACTTGAGAATATAACAGAGAATAAACTGCCCAAATACCCTTAAACAAAGGAAAACTACGTACTTTATGAAGGCTACGTACTTTACTACATGAAAATGAAAATTAATGAATACACTGTGTACAGTAATTTACCTGATAAGACAGACCTCAGAAAAATACTTTATGAGAGCTTTTATACTTTTATAAAGCTGTCTATAATGAAAATTAATTAACTAAGGATTTTTTTGCCCTGCCAGGGTGTGGACGAGTTATCCGGAGTGCCGGGTTATCGAGGGCCGAGTTTTCGAGGTTCTACTGTAATAAAATTTAAAGCTAATGTTTAGGTGGCAGTTTTTAATGCTAAGTATATGAATTTTATTATTGAATGGTCGCTCAGGTTAATTTCATTTCATTACGTTTATGAACCAGGTGTTAAATTTATTTGTTTTAACCGTATTATTATATTTAAAAACTTTGTTAAGGACACATGAGCTTACTTCATTAAGTTTATTTTAAACTTTTACGGCATGGTTCGTCGACGTTTTCTTTGTGCCGGCCCTTCTCTCTCCTCTGCCTTTCTATTTTTACTGAAAAAAACGAAACGGTTCGTGAATAATATGTTCCGGCTCGAAACGAAACTCGTGCGCTTCAACCGGTTTGTTTTGTTCTTACTTGTACCTGTTATTATTCGACTCTTCCATTACGTCCGAGTCGTCGGAAGATATTTCGATAATGACTTCTTTTGATGTTGACGACTGCTCAAAGGTTTTTCGTTTTGTGGATTTTTCGAACTCGTCCAGCTGTCGGAAAAAGAACCGAATTATGCACGGGTTGGATTGTGCCGCCGAACACGTATGCAACGTTTTGCATCGTGTCGGCCCACCCGTATTCATACTTACTCTGGCCTGGAGGGACCTATTGCGTTCCCGTTCGTATTTCAGCTCTGTCCGCAGCACCTCCACGTACTCGGGCTCATAGCCCCCAGGCTCTGTATCATAGCACTGCAGAGAAACGAAACGACATTGTTAGCGAACCGTTCGTCTATCGAAATGGCGGCTGTCCCGACCCGAAACGAATACAACGACAACTTACGTGATTGGGTCGGCGGTCTCGTCATTGCCCGAAATAAGTTCTTGTAAAGCTGTAAACCAGAAGGTAAGGGTTACTATGCGTCAGCTCGACGTATAATGAATAATTTGCGCAAAATTTATACTTACCGGCCTCGAAGGCGTCCATTACTCCAGCTCGATGCAGTATTTCAAAAATTCTGTCGACTGCCTCAGGTTGGGATAGGTTTTCCTGTAAGAGAACGAAAACAGTTTTTCAAAGTGTTACGAGTCTTACTCTGATACGTCCGAAACTGTTTGCAAAGTAAAGTGATCGGCATCACGACCGAAACGGCTACTCACATGCATGGATTCGTCTGAAGACGATACTTCAACTATTTCGTCGCTCATCTTGTTTCGTCCAACAAGTATACTGGACTATCGCTGCAATTCCTTCCTTTTATGCTGACGCTATCGCGTCCGAAAATGCAAATCCTATGTCAGTGCCACTACGCGGCGTGCCGAAGCAAAATTCGCCGCGCCACGACGCGCCGATCGGCCGCCCGTCTGTCGGAACCCTCTTTTCGCTCTGAAATGTCGACAACCATACACACTCGTTCGTTATTCTGTCGCGTTACCCTCTCACCTCACGACCCTCCGTCGGACCCAGTTACATCCGGCCGCCTTACTATTTCCGGCTATCCTCGTCGGTCCGTCGCGTCGCCAGTTTCGGCCGCCTCCTCCCTCCGGATGCCGCACTTTTCCCATGCGGCACGCATCCATTGACATCAGCTGCTCACCTGCCCGTGTCGACGGGCCCCTCCGTCTCCCTCCCTTACCGTTCGACTCATTTCCCGTTTCAGCCTTTCTTAGTCGCGTCCGCGCGTCGCCTTTTTCGCCCACGCTTCTCCCTCAGGATGCCGCCTTTTCTCCCGTAGCTTCCCTCCCCTCGCATCCCCGTCCCGTACGCGCCTGTCGATGTGCCCCTCCGTTCATGCAGTTGCAGCCGCTCCCTTTCCGACGTCCGGCTTTTCCGGTTGAGCCGTCGCGTGTCGTTTTCGGCCCGCCGCCACCGCTTCTCTACAGTCGTCTCTCTATTGTATATTAACAATTATTATTAGTAGCGATAACTTGTATTAATCGCTGCAAGTGTGATAACGCTTTGATGAATTCATAATAATAAATGCGGAAAAAAAAACATTTTCCACATATCTCCCGTAAGGGGGCCTACACGCTCTTCTTTCCGCATTTATTGACATATCGGCGCCCGACCGAAAGGATATACTTATTTATAAGTGCATTTATGTATTCTTATCTACACATATCACAAATGATTTCCGTTTATAATAATATTATTAATTATTTCATTATAATAATAACGAGGGGAAAAAAAAAAACATTTTGTTCATCAAACCGTTCAATCATTAACCGCTTAAAACTATCGTAATCGCTTACTTCTTTCGTTTTAACGTCGCGTCGTGCGAAATCCCGTGCAACTCCTGTGAGTTTGCATCGTGCAATGCTTAGGCACTGCCGAGAAGTCCAACCAGCCAGACTAGCTATTTCGTCTAACGTCTCGAAAAAGTCCGTTACGCGTCCATCTTCTCCGGAAAATGCCGGTAACATCCCCACGAAAGCCGAAGCTGATCCCCCGAAACCGCTCGTTCCTCTAGAGCGCGACTGTGCGTCTGTCTCTGCGTCCATTTGTCTAGCCCCACTTTTCTTTTTCCAACGATTTTGCGAGTTTTTTCGGGCTCCTCACCCACTTTTGCAAAAAAATTTTTTTTTTTTTTTTTTTTGTATGGGACTTCGAATCCCGCTTAACTGACACCAGTGTGGGGTTTTAGGAAGCCCTTGTGTGAGTTGGAGACACCTGTGTGGGGTTTTAGGCCCTTAGAGGGGGGTGAAAAAGGTTACAACCCTCGCTTTACCCGTGATCTGTCAGGATGACACGAGAAAGCCTTTTCCGTATGGGGGTCGCGGTTTGCTGGACGCAAAGACTCACACAGAGACCGTATTTACCAATTCAACGCGTTTATTTGGATTAGAAAACATGCTTACAATGCGTTACACTTGTCGGATCTTCGATATGCGTCCGTCCAAGACAGTTCGTCGAATTGTCCGTAGTTGTACTTGTTGTCCGTAGGTTCGAGGTTCGTCACACACACCAAAAATCCCGGGAGGAGAAAGTTCGTCTCCTCACTTGCCGTGGAGGTCTCGGGAAGTTTCGCTGTTTTTCTGGAGCTGGAATCCTTAGTCCTCTTCTTCGGAAAAATCTGAGTTGATCCGTCCTCGGGGACTGTCAAAGTTCCTAACAGCTTCTCAAACTCCCAACCTCCTCGTGTCCTTGGGACCTCGGCCTTTTATAATCTTTTCCCTCCCGAAATCCCGAAGTTTTGGTTGGTCCGAATGTTGGTCCCGGGTCTGTTGCCAGGGACGCGATTCGGGCCGAGGGGTCGCCGAGTTGACCCCGTCGGGGCCGTTCTCCTCCGGAGTCGGGTCAAGCCCTCTCCCGGATGACGGTCTCGTAAATTGTCACCTAATGTCTATTTTTTGGTCCCGGAGAGGAGGAAGCTGTTTCAGCCACCGCCCCTTCCACAGGAGTGTCAGCAGGACCTGCTTTGAACTCGATGTAAGGTGACCGTCCAAAGTTTCCCCGACAGTCGATCCCTCAATCCTTCTCACGATTGACGACCGTGAATCTGTCAATTAGGCCTGGAATGCGACAATTAAATCGTCTCGCACCCCGTTCCTTGGTCACACCGGTCCTATTTACGTAATAAGTCACCGATATATTGACTTTAGCTCGACAGCCGGTTTCCGTCCGAGGGGGGGTGTGGTCCCGGCCTCACATAATCAAGACTCAAAGTGGTGAGCCGGACGTGACCACAAGAACTTATTTACCCAATTCTGTGAGTATTTATATTATATATTTACGTCATGAGCAAGAGCGAAGACCCCATCAAGGTAGCACGTGTATCGGTGAAAATTCCACCATTCTTTTGGAGAAAGAACGTTAGAGTATGGTTCACACAGGTGGAATCACAACTTGCTGTCTCTAATATCACAACAGAGGTTACGAAATACCATCATATACTAGGATCACTTGACTGTGAAATAGCTGAATTGGTCGCCAATCTAATATCCCAACCGTTGACAAGCACACCCTACACGGGCCTAAAAACGAGATTAATCGACAAGTTTGAAGAATCTGAAAGTAGGAAGGCAAAAAAATTACTCCTAGAAATTGAGCTAGGAGAGAAAAAGCCCTCAGCACTATTAAGAGAAATGCGGGCACTTGCCGGTACACAAGTAACGGACAAATTCCTTAAAACGCTCTTTCTACAGAGGTTGCCTAACAACGTGCGTTCAGTTTTAGTGACCAAGCAAAACAGTCTCCATACCTTGGCCGCTATGGAGATAATCATTCGTAATTNTTTTAAATTTTAAATATTAAATATTATATATTTAAATATTAAGCTTAAACATTAAATAAAACAGATAGTTTTGAATAGGTTACATTATACCTTATGATATGTATTGATAAAAGAAATAATTTAAATTAAAATTTTTTTTTATATTTAAATTGTCATATAATAAATAATAAATATATAAAAGTAATTTATTATTTTTTATTACTAGCCTTACACGTAACATTCTAACAAAAATATAAAAATGCAAAATTTGCCGATTATCAAAACCGATTAATCGGGAAAATGGCCGATATGGCCGATTACCGATTACTTACCGATTAATCGGTGCATTCTTACTTGTCACCAAAAGAGACCCGGAAATTCTGATGTTATCACGTGACCTCAGAATAAAAGATTTAATAAATATAGTTTTAATAGAAATAAATCGTACAAACTTTTTATTCCAAAGCTTAAAGACTCCTCTAAGTAATATATAAATAGTATTCGATAATTTTTACTTTTCCGGCTGTTATATATAACAAAGGGAAAGTGTAGCGCTCAGTCAAGAATTGACACTTTCCAAATAACATCACTGCAAAAGACACGTGCTACTGTTTACAATATTATCTTGTAAAGCAGTGGTTCTCAACCAGGGGTACGNCCGGTTTCCGTCCGAGGGGGGGTGTGGTCCCGGCCTCACATAATCAAGACTCAAAGTGGTGAGCCGGACGTGACCACAAGAACTTATTTACCCAATTCTGTGAGTATTTATATTATATATTTACGTCATGAGCAAGAGCGAAGACCCCATCAAGGTAGCACGTGTATCGGTGAAAATTCCACCATTCTTTTGGAGAAAGAACGTTAGAGTATGGTTCACACAGGTGGAATCACAACTTGCTGTCTCTAATATCACAACAGAGGTTACGAAATACCATCATATACTAGGATCACTTGACTGTGAAATAGCTGAATTGGTCGCCAATCTAATATCCCAACCGTTGACGAGCACACCCTACACGGGCCTAAAAACGAGATTAATCGACAAGTTTGAAGAATCTGAAAGTAGGAAGGCAAAAAAATTACTCCTAGAAATTGAGCTAGGAGAGAAAAAGCCCTCAGCACTATTAAGAGAAATGCGGGCACTTGCCGGTACACAAGTAACGGACAAATTCCTTAAAACGCTCTTTCTACAGAGGTTGCCTAACAACGTGCGTTCAGTTTTAGTGACCAAGCAAAACAGTCTCCATACCTTGGCCGCTATGGAGATAATCATTCGTAATTCAGACATTTGTTCCACCAGTGGTGCAACCGCACACCAAACAGATCGGCTCTCTTGTTTCGAGAAAGCTGTATCAGAACTTGCCATTTTGATCCACGTGTTACGAGCACATTCTCCATCATGCTCAGAGAGACGACGACGCTCTCCCAGTCCAAATGTACTGGGTTATAATGTTTGTTGGTATCACTTCAAATTCAAAGCTAATGCCAGGAAGTGCACCCCACCTTGTTCTCTTAAACGTGCCATCAAGGAAGCCTCGGGAAACGACTAAGCTATGCTCTCTCTACCACTGAGAGGGGTGGGGAGAAAACATCCAATAGCTTATTTTTGATACTACCACTGGTCACAGATTCCTGGTAGACTCGGGGGCAGACATCTCTGTCTTACCTCCCACCACCCTAGAAAAACGACATATCAGTAATCGTCAACTTTATGCAGCTAATGGCTCCGTAATACCTACATATGGGGAGCGCCTGCTTAAACTTGATATTGGAATCCGACGGACGTTTTGCTGGCCATTTATCTTAGCGGACGTACAACACCCTATTATAGGAGCAGACTTTCTAAGTCACTTTGGCATTCTTGTGGATTTAAAGAATAGGTGCTTGAGAAATAATCTCACTCACTTGGCAATCCCAGAACTACCACCGCCACTAATCAGCAAACTGTGCTAATGGTATCACCCGAACAGAAGTATTCCAAGCTTCTTTCGGAGTTTCCCAACCTCTTGAAGGAACAACCTACATACCAACAAGTTAGTGACCATAACGTTTACCATACAATTGTCACGACAGGAGCTCCAGTTACTGCTAAGCCGAGACGACTCCCTCCTCATAAGCTTGCACAGGCAAAGCTGGAATTCCAACAGATGATAGACATGGGAATATGCAGGCCCTCCAAAAGTTGCTGGTCCAGCCCTCTACATCTTGTTCCAAAGAAGGACGGCTCATGGTGTTCTTGTGGGGACTATCGAGCCTTGAACACTATCACGATACCAGACCGGTACCTGATACCCCACCTTCAAGATTTCAATTGCCAACTGAGAGGGAAATCCATCTTTTCTAAAATAGACTTGGTGCAGGCATTCCACCATATACCTGTGACACCAGAGGATGTTCCAAAAACAGCTGTGATCACACCCTTTGGTTATTTGAATTTTTAAAATTACCATTTGGACTACGCAATGCTGCCCAGTCGTTTCAAAGATATATCCACAATATTTTACGTGAATTAGACTTTGTCTACTCATACCTTGATGATCTTGTCGTCGCATCTCAGAGGAGGAGCACTTGTTTCATTTAACAACACTGTTCACAAGGCTGCACAGACACGCCATTAACATCAACCTGTCAAAGTGTGTTTTTGGTGTGCAGGAGGTTTCTTTCCTGGGCTACGTCGTCTCCCAAGCAGGAATTGTACCCCTGCCTGAGCAAGTTTAAACCATATGATATGATATGTTTAAAAGTGTTAGAAGGCCGAACCTTACGGCATAGCCTTTGAAAAGGAAGGATGAAGAGTTTTAGAGGAAATGAGAAGAGGGAAGAAAAGTAAGGAATGATAGGAAAGTGTGAAGTGGGAACCATGGCGACTAAACCATCCGAAACTTTCTACGCCCAGATACCATAGAACAGCTCAGAAAGTTTCTAGGGCTAGTCAACTTTTACAGGCGTTCACTGCCCAACACGGCACGCATGCACGCACGCAACAAGCTCTCTTTGATTGATTTGTGCAAAGACACCAGGAAAAGAGACAAATGTAAATTGCAATGGACCCCAGAGTCAATTGCAGCCTTTGAACGACTCAAAGAGGAACTAGCAGGTGCTACCCTCCTGGCCCATCCCTCCACTGACCTTCCAATGATGCTGATGGTGGATGCATCAGACTTTGCTTTAGGAGCAGCTCTTCAACAGAAGAATAGTTCCATTGTCGAACCTCTAGGTTTCTTTTCTAAGACACTAACCAAACCACAGGCAAACTACAGCATATATGACTGTGAACTCTTAGCGGCATATTCAGCCACATCTTAGAAGGCAGGAATTTCACAATATATACAGATCATAAACCCCTAACCTACGCATTCCAGCAGTGTTCAGATAAGGCATCCCCTCGCCAACTCCGTCACTTAGACTACATAGGCCAATTTACCACAGATATCAGGTACATACCAGGGAAGGACAACGTAGCAGCAGATGTCTGCTCAAGAATCAGCTCTATTTTTCTCCCAACAGGAATACCCCTAGAAGATATTGCCGCTACACAAGCTGTGGACAAAGAGCTTGCTCAACTTCAACAGTCACAAACATGTTCACTGAAATTTGAAAAGGTTTGCCTCGAAAACGGAATTGAAGTGACGTGATATCTCAACCAGTAAACACAGGTCTTATGTACCTGAACAGTTCTGCCGACTAGTTTTTGACTCACTACATGGTTTAGCACATCCAGGAATGAAAGGTTCAGTGGATCTGGTCAGCAAACGCTTTGTTTGTCCATCAATGAGGAAAGATGTCAGGTTGTGGGCATACCACGTATTATAACCACTGACAGGGGTCGCCAGTTTGAATGCGAACTTTTTGCTGACCTCACCAAAGCCCTGCGAATTAACCACATTAAGACAACAGCTTACCACCCAGCCGCAAACAGAAAAATTCAACTGCAGCATCGTCAGCTCAAGTCCTCACTGAGAGCTCAGCTGACCAATAATTGGGTTGCTAAACTTCCAACCATCCTCTTGGGGCTAAGATCCTATGTCATCCCCAACTATAACACTACAGTAGCATAGATTACAGACGGCGAACCCATTGCACTGCCTTCTGATCTCCTTGCTGACCATGAGACTACTACTGCCAATAATTTTCCTACATTGATCTGCAGGTTAAAAGATCACATGAGGTCGATTCGCCCAGTCAGAGATCTCCACCACTTGTCTAAAAATGTATTTTTACACCCTGAGTTGATGACTGCCTCACACGTCTTTGTGCGTCATGATGCATCACACAAACCATTACAACTAATATATGATGGCCTTTTCCGTGTCTTACGACGCTCAGAGAAACACTTAGTTTGTAAAGTACTATATTATTTTTCCGACTTTCCAACGATCATCGACACTACTGTGTGCCGGAAATAGCCGTTCCCTAACGGGTACTTTACGCGGATTCGCGTTAGTGTGCCAGGCCTGGACTTTAAGCGTGCACCGAATTAAATAATGACAAAGTTTGTCAATAACAAAATCAAATATTTAATTAAACTTCTAGTAATAAACTATATACAGTATTTANTATTTCTACAAAAATAATTAAACAACAGCTTTGTGAAGGAGTACAGAAATTACAGGAATTAAAAAAAGAATACAAAGATATTCTTGCAAAAGTATGTGTAGATATTGAATAATTTAATTCTCTATAGATTACTAAAACTCATAACACTGCTTAATTCAAAATGTGAAAAAGAAGTTTCAATTACTTTTATCAACTTGAACATATTATTATTTTATTGAATTATTATTAATTTCTTTAGTTCTTAATTTCTTGGAACATAAAAATACATCAGAACCCATTTATGAAAATTTTATTAATATATTAATTAAAGTTTTGTGTCTTAATGTATACTAACAAGTAAGTTTTAAAAAATATACTCACCATGCCTTTGTTTAAATTTTTATTTATTTGACAAAATGCATGTGGTGGAGTTTCCCCCTTAAATACATTAATTTCTATACAGTTTAATACATTGAACTGTTTATAAGTTTATAATGATTTTATTATTGTTTTGTGACTTTTTTTTTAATATCATCACAAACCCAGGTTGAGAAATGCTGTCATAAAGGAATGATTTGACACTTAATAAAAATACTTACTTGTACGGGGTTTAGAAACAGATGAGTGGAAAGTCAATAGTTATAAATAAATGAGAATATTTTAATAATTCATTATAATCAGTTTTGTGTATTAATTTAATAGTTACACCAGACGAGTAAAAAATCCTGTACAAAAGAGAAACACATAAAAAAGCCGATGAATTCGTTTATTTTATGGAGCAGTATGCACAGGAAGACATTTTGTCAGAGATTTCCCCAGTTACCGAACAGAGAAGTCAGTAAGTTGATGGGCCAGAGGTGGAAACTTCTCTCCGAAGACGAGCGACAGCCTTTTCTGCAAAAGGCTAAAGAATTGCGTGAAACGCATAAAAAGAATTTCCCGAATTATAAATACTGCGCAGCAAATTCCAATTCGAACATTAGTCAGCCTACCCTGCCTGCCGAAGCTCCTTGTTCCTCATTCCAGTGTGGGAACATCACCCAGCAATGCAATGAACACATGTTTACATCAGCCAGCAATCTATTGGAGCCACAAGTGCATCCGGAGGAGGCAGAATTGCAAGAATTTTTAAACACATTTAACATTCCAGATAACTGGGAATCCAAAGTAAACAGCGTCGATTTATCATTCTTAAATAACTTGTAAATTTATTATAAGTAGATTTTACCAAAAATTCATTTGATTGTAAGTAGATACAGTCAACCCCCGTATAAGATCATTGATTATTCCGTTTTATATGAATTCCATGTTGTACGAGTCACTTAAATTTTACAAATACGTGAGCCGTTCACAGCCCGGTACATGTATTTGTAAAATCTAAGTGACTCGTACAACATGGACTTCATATAAAACGGAATAATCAATGATCTTATAGGGGGGTCGACTGTATATATATGTTACTGCTAAAGCTCGAAAGTCGTTAATGTGTACATTACCTAGCTAATCTGCAGATTAACTAGGGTGATCCGTTAAGGTCGCTAAAATTGTTCTATTTCTCAATTTATTTAGGTAATCTGCAAATTACCTACAGGCACTCGGTAAAGTGAAAATAAGATGTTTGCTGGAACAACAGCAACGTTTCTGTACGCTTAAATTAACATAATGTTCTTTATTCAATTTTCGATATGTAAAGAATCAAGTTAATACAATCGAACAATCAACAAATTAGTTGATAGAATCAATCATCAACCGATTAAAAAACATACAAAAAATCAAATGGTTTAAAATATTAATACAATTAGAGAAATTATTATATAGATAATCACCTATGGAATTTCGGAACTTTGAGTATCTATCTGACGTGAGGGGACCGAGACGACTTCAACGATACCCTACTTTTGGACCGGAGACGAAAAATAATAAAGTTACCATACTTTTTCTGGTGATCGCATAATATAATTGTGCAATTAATGTTACCTATGGTGAGTAAAATGGCAACTCGTCTCTGATTCCAGCAAAGAGAAGAAAGGAAACAGTGGGGACGCACGTTCTAACCCAACATATTCTAATAAATTACCATAATTATTACCAACCAAATTATTAGAATAGGTTAGGTTAGGTTAGAACGTGTGTCGTCACTGTTTCCTTTTTTCTCTTTCTGGAATCAGAGACAAGCCGCTATTTTACTCACCATAGGTAATATTATCCAATTGTGCTTACTTATTAGTGCATTCTAAAGATTGGTGACACTTTGAATTTCATAGCGATTGGTTTCTGCGACAAGCACGCCTATTTGTGGTACATTTATTTGTGGCAAAGATTTTATTTTCACTTTACCCATTGCCTAGTAGGTAATGTGCGGATTACCTAGATACTCTGCACATTATCTAGGTAATTTGAGAAATGGAACAATTTTCACAACTTTAACGGATCACCCTAGTTAATCTGCAGATTAGCTAGGTAATGTACACATTAACGATNTAATCAGTTTGTTAGAAATTATTGTAGAATATTTTAAATTTTCTTTATTGTTAATTATAATTATTTATTTTTAGGAAAATGTAATTTATGCATGTATTGAAATGACTTAAAATAAAGTAATTCATTTTTACATCAATAAAAAAAGTTCAGAACTGTTGTAAAATCATTAACAAAGTTAAGTAAAATTGTTAAAAAAAACAGAAAGATGTCAACAACAAACATATGATATTAAATTAGTACAAAACCTAACATAACAACTAAAAATACAACAAAAATCACTTTTATTTATTGCATTTACGTTTAAATTAAATAAATAAATGACATGTCGTGGCCGAATATCCATTGCCTCTTGGTACCAATCACAAGCCAGCATTTGAACTCTACCAGAAAACTTTACCCAATTGCAGAAAGTACGAACTACTCTTCTTGCAAAGTTTTTCAAGTTCAAAGCTTTTACAAGTTCAAAGGTATACGTAAGTTTTTTCTTTCTTTATTAATTAAAATTTTATCACGAACAAACGCAGTTTAAATGGTAATAAATGTAGCTTAATGTATTACTGACAGTTTTTAAAAGACTTTTTTTTTATTGTGATTATAATATAAAGACTTATTCGAAAAAGATTAACATTTAAGAAAGTCGCCGAAGCGATTCGTATGGGCTAAATTAATTATGAATACGCAAGTGGGAAATAGGAGTTTTTCGGAATTATGCAATTTTTTATTTTTGCTTATTAATATTTTGAAAATCAACACAATACCGCATTTTCTCGATTATAAAACACACTTTCTTTTTTCTGACTTAATTAATATCAATCAAAATTAATAAAAAAAATTCTTAAACTTGATAAACACGGAACTATCCATCTGTTGAAAAAATTATTGTTAGTGGTAGTGGTTTGACATACAGATCACAAAATTAATTTTCTAATTACAAATTTGAAATAAATTAATTTTATTTTAACAATAAGGCAAAGTTTCTTTATTGATTATTAAAATTATTAAANCCTATGGTAGATTCAAATAATTTGTGAATCAAAAAGGGAGAACACTTAGATAGAGGTTTATCTCCAGTTGCATGCACTACTAAGAATGCTGGCTGACTAGATGTCTTCACATTTGCTGTTTCTGGCTTGTCTGTATTTTTATTTTTAGAAGAATCCATAATGATAATTATTTATTCAGCTCCTGGTGACCCCACCCACCATGGGGCCCAACAAGGGGATGCCGTCACATGGGAGACTCCCATAGACTGTCACACCAGGGTTTCCCAAGAGCTATACCCACACAATGTAGTCAAGAAGAGCACATCTTGCCTAACATGTCTGCCTGGTCTGCATCGATCAGTTGACTCCAAGCCGAGGTCAAGAATGACTCAACGACCAGCCGATTGACTCAAACGGAGCCTGATTTGAGCCTCCCGTTTATCCGAAGCAGGGGCCAAAGTAGTGTGTTGGGGACGTTGTGTTGCCCCTCAACTACCAGGATCCCCCTTTCCGGCATACGGGACACCATGCACGGCAAACACGTGGGTGGGCGTTCAGATCGCAGGGATGGTAAGGAGGAGCTTTGTGTAGGACCGACCTATGCCTCTCGCCTGAGGGGAGCTTCAACCATCAGCAATGACGATACCGAGAACGGCACGAAGCAATTAGAGGGGTCGAACAAAAGACAGGAAATGAATGAGGGGTGTGTTGAATGTTCATCAGAGGTGGTGAATCAGGAGGAGTCAAACACACAGAGTGAAATGAACGAGTATATAACAGTAGAAAATAAAAGAAAAACAAGAAGAAACACAAAAAATGCGAATACTCAACGAAAGCCGAAAGATACCGACATAAACGAAGGGAGTGAAACCGACACTAATTACAACGAAAATAACGAAAAGAAAGAACGAAATGGACCCGGGAAAAAAGAAAAGCACAAGTAGAACTAAAAAAACGTACCAAAGCAGAACATCTAATAGAAGACGACGAAAAAGGTATTACTAAAAAAGAATGCGAGATTATAAGTGAAACGGAAATAACAGATGTCGACGAAAATTAAAATTGACTTATATATTATTAAAACAATCATGGCGATCAACATAGCTTCTATTAATATTAATGGATTAAAAAAAAGAGGAACAAGTACATTCTTAACGACTTTAAAACAACGGCGTTTTGACGTCATTTTTGTCCAAGAAACACATGTAAGATCAATCGAACAAAAACTGTTTCCACTGTAGAACTGTCTCTGGTCTTATGGGAAAGAAAATTCGGCAGGTACTGCAATATTTGTAAGGTCTGACTTGCAAGTGGAAAAGACAGAAAAAGATGCAGAAGGGAGAATAATAACAGCAGACATTTACATAGACGATAACAAAATAAGACTTTTAAGCATATATGCCCTTGTAACACCAAGAGAAAGGATAGATTTCTTCCGCTCCCTTGACCATTACGTTGAAACAGGCGTGTATTACATAATCGCAGGAGGCGATTGGAATTGTATAACAAATAACGCACTGGACAAGGAAGGGGGAAATAACATAACATCAAGCAGAACCTCAGAAACTCTAAAAAGATTTATGAGTAACCACCAACTTATAGACATATGGAGAAAACAACATCCAACCGAGAAAACGTTCACTCACATAACCAGTAAATGTAGCACAAGGATTGACAGATTCCTTGTCCGATCCAAACTGGAAAAAGTAATAGAACGCACAGACATCGAACCTTGCTACTACTCAGATCATGAAATGATTACAGTGAAAATTAACACTCTTCCTCTCTGCAAACAGGGCAAAGGATACTGAAAACTAAATAATAAGCTGCTAAAAAACGAAGAAATTGAGAGTACCAATAAATTTATAGAAAAATACCTACAAAAGCAAGAAGGAAAAAATATTATTTGATGATGGGACAATTTCAAGACAGAAATAAAAACATTTCTCATAAAAATTGCTAGGAAAAAATCACACGAAAGGAAATCAAACGTAAAATATCTAAAGAAACAATTAAGATTACTTTTGAATTTGCCCCAGGAGGACACAAACAAAATTAAACAGATTAAAGATGAAATTAAAAAAATATAAAAAGTGGAAGTAGAAGCAGCAGCAATCAGAGCCAGAGTCCAAACTCTCGAAGACAATGAACGACCGACTAAACATTTCATACGAATGGAAAACACAAAAAACCAAAACAAAATCAGACAAATACGAACAGAAAAAGGAATCATAAATAACAGAACAGAAATACTCAAAGAATGCCAGTCGTTTTTTACAAAATTATACAGCAAAGACAGCACGGTAGCTACATACCCAGAAAATAAATTAATAGAAAAAATAACCCAGATAAGCCCCGAAAATAGAACAAAGATGGAAGAAAATATAACTGCCAACGAATGCTGGAATGCAATCAAAGAACTCGGTGAAAATAAATCTCCAGGTCTAGATGGCCTAAGTAAAGAATTCTATAAAGTGTTCTTCAGGCAGCTGGCCAAACCCCTGACCACCCACCCTCTTTAACGAAATAGCGAAAAACAGCATCCCTCACTCGATGTACAAAGGCATAATCAAAGTAATTCCGAAAAAAGCCGATGCAACTGTGTTAAATGACTATAGACCGATTACACTTTTAAACGTCGATTATAAATTCTTGGCAAAAATAATATCCTCCCGCCTCTCATTGGTACTGAAAAACAACATCAGCCCAGAACAATCGTGCGCCTTGCCCAAAAGAAAAATTCATGACAATATCCATCTAATAAGAAATACAATAGACTACATCAACCAAAAGAATAGTCCTGGTTGCCTCATAACAATAGACATGGACCATGCATTCGACAGATTAGATCATCAGTTTATGATGAACGTACTAAAAAAATTAGATCTAGGAGAAAAAGTAATTAAAATTATAGAGACTTGCTACGCAAAAATGAGCAGCACAGTACTACTAGACGGATGTTTCAGTGACGTGATAGACATAAAGAAGTCAGTCAGACAAGGGTGCCCCCTGTCGATGCTGCTCTTTGTAACTGCAATAGACACATTAATCAAAACAATAAAAGACGACAAACATATAGGTCTGCGAGTTCCCGGGAGTACAACTGAAACTAAGGTAATAGCGCATGCAAACGATTTAACCTGCTTTTGTACTAACGAAAAGAGTATAAGAAGGCTAGCTCAACTACTGCAACACTTCGAAACTATATCAGGGCTAAAGGTCAACATCCGAAAGACGGTCGGAATCAAATTAGGCAGCTGGCGAAAAAAACCAATTTATCCGCACAACCAAATCGAATGGAAAACCAAAGCAAAAATCTTAGGAATTCCTTTCAATGAGGTTAAAGAAACATTAAAAAGAAAATTTGACTCGATAATTGAAAAATGCAAAAACATAGTAAACAACGTGAACAGTAGAAACATCAACCTCATAGGGATAGCCTTAATATATAACACGCAAATATGCAGCAAGATCCAGTTTATGGCAAACTTTATCTCAATTCCCCGCGACATAATTAAAAAAATAGAATCATTAGGCTTTAAAATTTTAATATGGAATAACAAACCAGACAAATTAAAAAGAAACATAATGATTAACAAATTAGAAGACGGAGGAATAAACATGCCCATCTGGAGACAAAAATTAAAGCTCAAATCCTCAACCACTTAAAAGAACTAATTCTGGGAGACAATAAGCTGTGGGCACTGTTAGCCACATACTGGATAGGAATGAAATTATGAAATAGCAACAAATCCTTAAACTCAAATCTGAGAGCGAGAAGCTGGATAATATCACCCTTCTATCAGGTTGCATCCAAAATATATACAAAATTCGTAAACAAACAAACAGAAATAAAATGGGAGAAAAGTAACACCAAGTCCCTCTACCACACCCTATTAAACAAAGTAAAAGAAGAACCACATATTGTAAAAAAATGTCCAAATATAAACCACAAGAAAAAATGGCAGATCATCAAAGAAATAAAAACCCTTCCTAAAAATACCGATATGCACTAGCTAATATCTCACGATCTCCTAGCTACCGGACACTTCCTCCACTATCGTCACATAGTATCTCAACCCGACTCACTGTGCAAAGTATGCAACGAAACAGAAACTATAGAACACCTTTTCTATGAATGCCGAAGAACGAAAGAAGCGTGGAAATATATAAACACGCTTCTTGTAAAATGCGACAAATGTAAAACCCTAAAACTAACCCCGATGACAGCGACTTTCGAACAAAAAGAAGATTGGTGTAAACAATGTCAAATAATACTGGCCGAGACAAGGTTCGTACTATGGACAGCAAGAAACGAAACCCGATTTAATAAGAAAAAATTGACAGACAAACATCAGATACAAACTAAATTACAGGTTAAAAACTGTCGCAAAAATGTGGAAAACGAAGCTAAACGACGTTCATTTCGAGAAAACATGAAATAAATATAATCTTGTGTAATTACTAGTTGTGAACATAAAAGGATAAAATGTAAACGACAAACAGCTATGTGAGCGTAACACCAGTTACGCGAAGAATAGTACGATGTAATTATTTTTGTAAATAAATTATTGTTTGTTTTCAAAAAAAAAACAGGAATCTACTTTGTTTTGCCCATCCCACAGTTTAAACCCACTTGTTCTAAATGCTCTAGTACGGGGATGAGCAACACACAGCCCGTTAAACATGTTTATGCGGCCCGCCAAGCATTGCTAAAATTGAATTTATTTTATCGACTTTCTCCCATCAATATATTGTTATAAAATTATTTATAATAAAATGGTAGTACATACTAAACTGAAACAATTTTTCGTGACGAGTTACTCACTTGTCGGCAAGTTGTTCAAACATGCAATACAAACGCACCGCATCTGTGCAATTTTTTGTGACGAGATACACACTTGTCTGCAACTTGTTCAAACATGTANAAGTATTCATTTTTCTCTAAGAAATACATGAGACGTCTGTTTACCATCCTTTAAAAAAGTTTAAACAGGCAACTTGTCAGAGATTGGTCTGTACTTAGACAAATTCTTGCTGTCTTTACCTGGCTTGGGAATGAAAATAATGATAGATAGCTTCCAAGGAAAAGTATGTTCTGTCCATATTCTGTAAACAGACACAGGATATTAAAAATCTGTCAAACAATTCCCTTTCTAATCATGCTGTACTGGATTTTATCTGGGCCTACAACACTATTCCCCAAGCAAGAGATCACTGTATGTACTTCTATGCTGGTAAATGGCACATTATATTCCTCATTAGATGAAAAATGCAGATTTAAATTTTCTTTTTCTCTTTGTGCTTTATAAACCTGAAAATTCCTTGCATACATAATATTGCTAAATGAAGCAGAAAATGTTTCACCCAACAAATCAGCAATACCCAGTATATCGCTAATTATTGTGCCATTATTTTCTAGAATCGACAGAGTGAGAAGCATATTTCCCATTGATTTTATAGACTTTTTTCCAGACTGCTTTTGAGCTGGTGGAAGATGTTATGCTAGAAAGATACTTCCTCCAAATATCCCTTTGGCTTTGCCTTCTTATTCTTCTGGCATTTGCCTTCACTTTTTGAAAAGCAATAAAGTTGTTAGTAGTAGTGTAACTTCTGAAAATCTCCCAAGCTTTCTTATGTTTTTTAAATGCTGCCTCACGCTTCTATTCCCATGGTTTCAAATGTTTTGGATATCTGGTTGATGTTTTCCCAATTGTTTTTTCAGCTGCCTGTATGATACTGAAAGTAACAACTTCAACTGCATCATTAATATCAGCAATATTCACCATATCCTCTTTGAAGATAGCCATAAAGGAAAAAACAGGCCAATCAGCAATTTCCAATTTCCAGCGTAGTGGACTAGCTGTTTCACAGCTTTCTCTCCCTTCATATTTTAGAAATATTAAGAAGTGGTCGCTAGGGCATAGATTAGTTAATTAGTTAGTTTGATAGAGTTTATTGGCGACAGGACCATACAGGCCAAGTTGCGCAATGGCAAATAATATANGCTGTTAACTAGCAATTTTAGCAATTCTTGTGTTTCTTGAAAGGCGTGAGTGCAATATTATTGTCAAAAAGGTAATATTAGAGTTTTTTTTATTCAAAATTAAGTTTTCCTACAAATTTTTTTAACTTTCAAATTTTTAATCCATAATAGCATGTCGGAAAAGCAAACAAAAAAACGAAAGGTTGCGGATGAGCACAGGCATTTCCAAGAAAAGTGGAAATTTGATTATTTTTTCACTTTCGTCGAAAATAAAGCTGTATGCTTAATATGCTCAGAAACTGTGTCGACATTAAAAAAATATAACATAAAAAGGCATTACGATACAAAACATGAACAATAATATAAAAACTTAACAGGACAACTCCAGATAGATAAGTTTAATCAAATAAAGAAAAACTTGGAAAAACAACAGGCTATTTTTAAAAATCAAGCTATTTTATCAAATACGGCAGTAAAGGCTAGTTTTGTTGTCAGTCAAATACTGGCAAAAAAAATGAAACCCTTTGGAAAGATGATAAAAGAATGTCTGACTGCTGTTGCAGAAATAGCATTTCCTGATAAAATAAATATTATTTCAAAGATTAGTTTATCAACATTCACCGTTGCAAGAGAATTGAAGACTTGTCTGTGAACATAGCAACAACGCTTCGTGAATGCATCGCAAAATTTGAATACTGTTCTTTGGCACTTGATGAGAGTTGCGATATTAGCGATACAGAACAACTGGCTATATTTTTACGTGGTATTGACACCAAATTTAATATTACCGAAAAATTGTGTTCACTGATTCCAATGCAAGGGACTACAACCGGCAAAGACCTGTACGATAAACTAAAGTCTGTGTTGGAAAATTTTTCAATTTCATTAGAAAAGATTATTGGTATATCGACAGATGGAGCACAAGCAAAGTCAAGCATGGACATAGAAGTATCAGGAAGGCTATTTCAAGACATTAAGGTCACAGGAAGGGAAATATTTGTTAACCACTGCATAATTCACCAGGAAAATTTGTGTGCGAAAAGATTAAGTTTGCCAAATGTCACAGTACCAATAATTAAACTAATCAATTTTATAAAGTCGCACGCATTAAATCACTGTGAATTTGAAGAATTCCTAAAAGATTTAGACACTGAATATGGCAACGTGGTTTTTAATACTGAAGTACGTTAACTTAGTAGATATGTTTCACACTTAGTAGAGTGTTTCACACTAGGTGGAAGACAGTTAGCTATGCTATTAATTTTAATTAGGAACAGAGTCACACTCAAAATGGAGCCTTGAGGAACACCTTCTTGTTGCGTGAAAGGCCTAGATAATGATTGCCAATCCTAACTTCAAATCTTCGATTCTCTAGAAACTTTTTTATAAAAATCAGCAAATTACCTCGCAATCCGAATTGGTCCAGATCATGGAGTATCCTGTTTCGCCAACAGCGATCATAGGCCTTCTCTATATCAAAAAACACAGACACTAAGTGCTGTTGTCTAATAAACGCTTCGCGAATAGATGTTTCAACGTTTACTAAGATATCACTGGTACTTCTGTTCCTNGTTGCAAAGCATGTGTTTTACACTTAGAAAGCAGTTGCAATGCTCGCATACTAGCTGTTCTTCACCCTTCAAAACGTATTGATGAGTCAACCGAGTATGCCCAATTCTCAAACGAGTAAGAATTACTTGAGATCTCCTGTCATACTGTTTATTGTGTCCAATTTTCTATATTTGGCTTGATCTCATGTAGTTTATTGTGGACTTGTGCGTTCCACACGTTTTGCCATTTCTCTGCTAGTCGTTTTTTAACTACTAGCTTCAAATCATCTCCTTCAATATGCATTATATGCTGTAAAAGAGTAGCTGACTTTGCAGCTGCGTCAGCTTCTTCATTCCCTTTTATACCTACTTGGCCTGGGACCCAAGAACATTTTACAAATTACTCGCAGTAAGATGGCAAAACGATTTGCGAATTTTAATCACTATCAAGTGAGAACTAAATTTACATGAAATCAAAGCCTGAAGTGCACTAACTGAGTCAGTGTAAATAACACAGGAACGATGACCTTTCCTATTTATATACTTTAAAGCTAAATAAATAGCATGCAGCTCTGCAGAAAAGATGGAAGAATTCAATGCAATTTGTTCTGCCACGATTTCATCCTGGCTGACAAAAGCTGAGCCAACGTAATCATCAGATTTAGGTCCATCTGTATAAATAGGAATTAAATTCCTATCATAATGTTGAATTTCTGCAAAGTGCTGTCTGTAGACATAATCTGAAGTGGATTCCTTAGAAAATTGCTTTATGCTAAGGTCAACATTTATCACAGAAGTTGACCAAGGAGATATACTAGACTTCTAGCTGTGAAATGTTGCCTGTGTTCAGGTCAATCGTGCTGCTCACTTTCTCCATTCTTATGGCGAATAAAGGGACACTGCTTGGGCGAGCTTCAAATAACCTTTTCAGCTGAGTATCTAATACTGTACAATCAACTGAAGGTTTAAAGTAAAATTTCTGTTTTATATAGTAAAATAGAGACAACTGTTCTCTCCTGAGAGATAGTGGAAGCTCATAAGCATCCACATACAAACTTTGTACAGGGGAAGTTCGAAAAGCACCAGTGCACAAACGTAGTGCTTGATGGTGGATTGGATCCAGCATCTGAAGAGTAGATTCTCGCGCAGAGCCATAAACAATGCAACCGTAATCCAGCTTAGAGCGGACAAGGGCCCTATAAATCCTGAGCATAGAAACTTTGTCTGCTCCCCAGGATGAGCAGCATAGTACCTTTAAAAGGTTTAGAGATTTTAAACATCTACTCTTCAGGTTGCGCAAGTGTGGCAAAAATGTCAGTTTTGGGTCGAAATAAACACCCAAAAACTTAGCCTCATTCACCATTGGAATTTTATCGCCATTTAGGTGAATTTCAGGATCCAGGTGCAAACCACGCCTTCGGCAGAAGTGGATGCACGATGTCTTCGCTGCATTAAACGTAAACCCATTGGTCTTGGACCAATCATATATGCGATTTAGGGAAGTTTGAAGTTGTCTCTCAATGAAACTCATATTACTAGACTGACAGGAGATCTGAAAGTCATCTACATACAAAGAGTGTTTCACACTGGGAGGGAGACAGTTAGCTATGCTGTTAATTTTAATTAGGAACAGAGTCACACTCAAAATGGAGCCTTGAGGAACACCTTCTTGTTGCGTGAAAGGCCTAGATAATGATTGCCAATCCTAACTTCAAATCTTCGATTCTCTAGAAACTTTTTTATAAAAATCAGCAAATTACCTCGCAATCCGAATTGGTCCAGATCATGGAGTATCCTGTTTCGCCAACAGCGATCATAGGCCTTCTCTATATCAAAAAACACAGACACTAAGTGCTGTTGTCTAATAAACGCTTCGCGAATAGATGTTTCAACGTTTACTAAGATATCAGTGGTACTTCTGTTCCTACGAAAACCACTCTGATGTGATGAAAAGTATTCATTTTTCTCTAAGAGATACATCAGATGTCTGTTTACCATCCTCTCAAAGAGTTTACACAAGCAACTTGTCAGAGAGATTGGTCTGTAATTAGAGGGATTCTTGTGGTCTTTACCAGGCTTGGGAATGGGAATAATAATAGATAGCCTCCAAGAGTCAGGAAAAGTATGTTCTGTCCATATTCTGTTAAACAGACACAGCAGATTAGAAAGAAAATTATTTGACAGATTTTTAATCATGCTGTGGTGGATTTAATCCAAGCCTACAGCATTATTCCCCGAGCGAGAAATCGCTGTATGTAGTTCTGTGCTGGTGAATGGCACATTATATTCCCCATTAGATGAGGAGGGAAAGTTTAAATATTGTTTTTCACTTTGGGCTTTATAAGCTTGAAAATTCCTATTAAACATTACATTGCTTGATGAAAAAGAAAACGTTTCACCAAACGTATCAGCAATACCCTGTATACTACTGATTATTGTGCCATTATTTTCCAGCATGGACAGGGATTGAGAAGCATATTTCCCATTGATTTTATGGATTTTATCCCAGACTGCTTTTGAGCTAGTAAATGATGTTATGCTAGAAACATACTTCCTCCAAGAATCCCTTTGGCTTTGCCTTCTTATTCTTCAGGCATTTGCCTTTGGTTTTTGAAAAGCAATCAAATTCTTTGTAGTGGGGTACCTTCTGAAAATCCCCCAAGCTTTCTTTTGTGCTTTAAATGCTGCCTCGCAATTTTGGTTCCACCATGGTTTCGGATGCTTTGGGTATCTTGTTGATGTCTTTCCCATTGTTTTCTCACCTGCCTGAATAATACTAAAAGTGACAACTTCAACTGCGTCATTGATATCAGCAATATTCACCATATCCTCAGTGTTGTTAGCCAAAGAGGAAAATGCAGGCCAATCTGCCGTTTTCAGTTTCCAACGTGGTAAACGAGCTGTTTCACAGCTTTCTCTGCCTTGGTATTTTAGAAATATTGGGAAGTGGTCGCTAGAGAGTGGATTAGATCCAACCTCCCATGTAAATGCTGAAAACAGATTCGGAGTTGCTAATCATAGATCAATGGTAGTGAACGATCTTTATGTAGCATGGAAGTATGTCACTTCTCCAGTATTAAACAGATACAGTTGATGATTACCTATAAATCTCTCAATGGTCCTGCCTCGACGATTGATGTTGGAACTGCCCACATAGGATTGTGGCCATTGAAATCACCCAGTAAAAGGAATGGAGTCGGCAGCTGTTCAACTAGTGTATCCAATTCATCCTCATTGACTCTGACATCTGGTGGCAAGTATATAGAATAAACTGTGACAGTTACGCCAATTAAAATTTTGACTGCCACAGCTTGCAGCTCTGTTGTTATTTGTACCGGTAAGGATGGAATGCGATTTGAAACCAGAATAGCCACACCGCCACTGGCACGGTTGTGGCTATCATCATCCTTCTGGTAGAGATTGAATCCTTTCAAAGTAATTCTTTCTCCAGGTTTCAGATGGGTTTCCTGGAGTGCCACGCAGAGAGATGAGGTAGGTGATGTCAAGTGTTTAATGTCAGAGAAGTTATTGCGGAAACCACGACAGTTCCATTGGATTATAAAATAATCCATTATGTGTTTGAGGCAGCATTCTTTGTGAAGGTATCCCTCTTTAGTTTTACGGCTGATTTGCCTTTTGGAAATGAAGTTGGTGGTGTCACCTCCTTATTAGTCTCCTCGTCAGAGAAGTCAGAGAACTCACTCATAGACTGAGCCTCTGATCTGTTAGATTTGGAGATGGCTGCTTTTAATTTTTGTTTGTTGAGCGGGTTCTTAGCAGCCTTCTTAGAACCCACGTTTCTTGTTTTTACCCGTTTTAGGTAGGGGTGTTTTGGTCTTCTTGCTCTCCTTTTCTGCTTTTTGCGTAGATGGTATAAGCAAACATTTTTCATGGCGAGTTAGAGATTCATTTGGTGAAACAGAAATGTCTGTCTGAACTCCACATGTCTTTTTGGATATCAGAACAGCAGCAAATGTCTTCTGTTTCACTGGTGCATTTAAAGTGACCATGCGTCGTGCCTCTGGGTAAGGTATATTATTCACTGTCTTTACCCGCTGAATCTCTTTCTCTTTTTGCCACATGGGACATTTTCGGGAGTAGGCAGGATGGGCATCTTTGCAGTTGATGCAGCATGGAGTGGTTGTACACTCAGTACTCTGGTGGCCTTTAACTTCACACTGTGCACATAAACTTTTGCCTAGACATGATGTTTGGGAATGTCCAAATCGCTGGCATTTAAAGCAACGCAGCGGATTTAGAATGTATGGACGAACTGGACAGCGCAGATATCCTGTAGTAATGAAAGATGGCAATGTCGGCTTGTTAAATGTGAGGATAAGATGTTTGGTTGATATCAACTTGCCATCTCGACAAATGGAGATACGTTAAATAGCAATGACGCCTTGGTCTGAAAGGCCGATCTGAAGATTGATCTCAGATATCACACCACGTGAGGAGTTCAAACTTCCATGTGGTGTGACTGTTACTTCAATATCTCCCAGGTTCTTTGTAACTAAAAATTTTGCTGACTGTTGAGATGAGGCAGTTTCTACAAGTAAGTCCCCTGACCTCAATTTCTGTATCTTTTTCAGGTGTCCAATACTTGATTCAAATATTTTTTGAATGCGAAATGGAGAGCATTTCGAAAGAGGTTTTTCTCCAGTAGCATGTACTATCAAGTAGGATGGCTGACTGGATGTCTTTTTATTTGTTGTTGGTGTATCTAATCATTTTGGGTTTTTTGAATCCATAATTATATATAATTATGTGACTCCTAGTGACCCCACCCACCACAGAACCCAACAAGGGGATACCGTCACATGGAGTACTTCCATAGACCGTCACATCAGGGTTTCCCAGGAGCTATACCTTCACAATGCAGTCAAGAAGAGCACATCTTGTCGGACGTGTCCACCCGCTCTGCATCGATCAGTTGACTTCAAGCCGAGGCCAAGAATGACTCAACGACCAGCCGATTGACTCAAACGGAGACTGGTTTGAGCCTCCCGTTTATCCGAAGCAGAGGCCAAAGCAGTGTGTTGGGGATGTTATGTTGCCCCTCAACTACCAGGATCCCCCTTTCCGGCATACGAGACACCACGCACGGCAAACACGTGGGTGGGCGTTCAGATCCCAGGGATGGTGAAGAGGAGTTTCTAGACCATCTCTGGGAGGTCCCCTCACCACGGACAGGAACCCACATCGAGGGGCAGTCTCCAATTTATTCAAATAAACGACGCTCTAAAGTATTACTCTACAGGTGCAGTTTAAGCCCACTAAACATAAAATAAAAACAGTTTAAAGTTTAACTGAGTTAGAAAAGTCCTTTATTAAGGATCAACTTGATAGTATTGATGGGAATCATACCTATGCTATAAAAAACCAAATCTCTGTTTGAATGATCATTTGCCATTGTATATTTGAATTTTTTCATAAAGATCTTTGTGTGAAAAATGTTTGTTTCCTTTTACTCTTAAAATTTCTAACACACTACCTCTCCAGTCCTTCAATCGAATAACATTTTTTAAAAAAATGTTTGATATTGGGTACATTCATAAAGTCAAACAACTTAAATGAGAATGACATCCTCGTTATTCTTATTTCGTTAGACTTTTCAAATTATTCGTTTATATCTAAATGACTGTTTCTAGTGCAGCCTTATCCAAAATATTTTTCTTACATTGCTTCAGGTGAACAATTATTTCAATTATTTTACCTTTGAATTCACAATTTAATCACTCAAGTAGATTTAGAAACATCGATATTGTTGGGTGCCATTTTCTTAACAAAGTAAACTAACTCTTCCTTTCCTGAACTTCGTTAGAGTTTAATTTGAAACATCATCATCATAAGTTGCATACAATTAGAAGCTGTAGCAGAAGCAACCAACAAAACTTTGAGAGAGACAACATGGCTATGACTACTTGTCGAGAATGTGCTGTAGTGATTGCATTGTTGGCAATAAGTGTAGGCGCTTTTGTCATTAATAAAAAGCAGACAAGTTGACATCAACGACAACGTCGATGGCAAGTACATCCCATGAACATAAACATGCCACTTTGTCAATTCTCGTTATTTCGTTGGATGAAGGATGTTGATTCCGAGGAATTTTTTAACTACACAAGAATGAATGTGGATCTCTTCCATGAGCTGTCGAGACATCTGTGGAGAAGACTATACAAACCACATGGTCAAGCAATTAATCCAGAAACGAAACACACACTGACATTAAAGTGAGGCAAAAATACAAATTATAATTAAAACTGCAGCTGTATAATCAATCCTCTCTAATATTATAATATATATTTTTTACAGATACCTGGCCCAGGGAGGCAGTATTCAAAGTATGGCTTGGGATTATAATATAGGAAAGTGTACAGCTAGAAAAATCATACTGGAGGTCAGTACTTTCATCTCAGTTCCATTTTTTTTTTATATTAAAAGAAAAATTGTCTATGTTAAAATCTGTGTAATATTAAGTAAATAATTGTCATATTTAAAATGAAATTTATGATAAAATTCTAGATTAAAACTTAAATTTCTCTAATTATATAAATATAAAATTGACTAATTTATGACATTTAAATAATAAGCTTAGTGTGTATGGTACACGTTCTTTTCCTTTTCTGCGATGTTTTGTGTATTTTCAGGTCTGTACAGCAATATGGGAGGAACTGAAGCCAACATATATGGCTTCATTATCATATCCAGAATGGTTGCAGATAGAAAACAAATTTTGGGAGAAATGGCAGTTTCCTCTCTGTCTAGGAGCTACAGATGGAAAACACATCAGGATCAAGGCACCACCAATATCCAGATCAAAATTTTTTAAAATCAAAAAATTTTTTAGCATTGTTCTGATGGCTGCATGTGATGCAGACTACAGATTTACATTTGTAGATGTAGAAGCATATGGGAGTGACTCTAATGCAACTATCTTGTCATTGTCAGCCTTTGGAAGCAGTCTCCTTATAACATTGAAAAGTTAAAGTTGCCAAACGAGAGAAAACTACCAGGTACAACCCTTCCATTTGCATTTGTTGCAGATTCTGCATTTCCACTAAAACTAAAGTTTATGCTTCCTTATCCTGGAATAAATTTAACAGAGGGTGAATCAATCTTCAATTACCATCTCTCCCAGGCAAGAAGAGTTATAGAGAGCACATTTGGATTTTTGGCATCGCGATAGCGTATTTTCCATCAATCAATTAGAGCATCTCCTGATGTAACAAAAATAATGTTATGCACAGTTACCCTGCATAACTTTATAATGAAAAATAATTTGGTGCCAGAATACTGCTCCCCAAATTTTGTAGACCAAGAAAATATCTCTGGCGATTTCATTCCAGGTGAGTTCCAGGATGAGCCATCTCCTAATTGGAGGCCTCTCCAATGTGGATCGCAAAATTCTGCACAGAGCATACAGAAATCAGAATAATCTAAAGGAGTTTTTCACGAATAAAAGACATGTAACTTGGCAGTTAGGGATTGTTAATCAAGGAACCCTATCAAATTCATGAAGATATTATAATTTTAGAATAGAGTAGAGCATCATTTATCCGAATCAATTGGGGACTGGAGTTCTTCAGTTAGTTAGTTAGTTAGAGTTTATTGGCGCAAAGGCCATACAGGCCAAGCTGCGCCATGGCAAATGGTATATATAAATAAGTAAATAAATATATATATATATATATATATATATAATGTAAGATGTTTAATATAAATAAATAAATAAACTAATAAATAACAAAACAATATATAACAGTATACATGTAAATAATAACTATATATATACATAAATGAATAAATAAATAAATAATCAACAAGGTATATATAAACCTAACCAAAATAAATAATTAAATATGTTTATAAATATTATTCACTTTCAAAAAGTTCAATAATTTGTCAAGATTTGGCCTCTGGCCCAAAATCTCTCTCAAACTTGCATTTCCAAAATGCTGTCTATGACTTTGATCATAAGCTGTGCAGTTGAAAAGCATGTGTTTTACACTTAGAAAGCAGTTGGAATACTCGCATACTGGCTGGTCTTCACCCTTCAAAAAGTATTGATGAGTCAACCGAGTATGCCCAATTCTCAAACGAGTAAGAATTACTTCAGATCTCCTGTCATACTGTTTATTATGTGTCCAATTTTCTATATTTGGCTTGATCTCATGTAGTTTATTGTGGACTTGTGCATTCCACACGTTTTGCCATCTCTCTGCTAGTCGTTTTTTAACTACTAGCTTCAAATCGACTCCTTCAATACGCATTATATGCTGTAAAGGAGTAGCTGACTTTGCAGCTGCGTCAGCTTCTTCATTCCCTTTTATACCTACATAGCCTGGGACCCAACAAAATTTTACAAAGAAATTACTCGCAGTAAGATGACAAAAGAGCTTACAAATTTTAATAACTATAGAGTGAGAGCTAGGTTCACATGAAATCAAAGCCTAAAGTGCACTAACTGAGTCAGTGTAAATAACACAGGAACAATAATAACACAGGAACCTTTCCTATTTATATACTTTAAAGCTAAATGAATAGCATGCAACTCTGCAGAAAAGATGGAAGAATTCAATGCAATTTGTTCTGCCACGATTTCATCCTGGCAGACAAAAGCTGAGCCAACGTAATCATCAGATTTAGATCCATCAGTAAAAATAGGAATTAAATTCCTGTCATGGTGTTGAATTTCTGCAAAGTGCTGCCTGTAGACATAATCTGGGGTGGATTCCTTTGGAAATTGCTTTAAGCTAAGGTCAACATTTATCACAGGAGTTGACCAAGGTGATATACTACAGATCTAGCTGTGAAATGTTGCTTGTGTTCAGATCAATCGTGCTGCTCACATTCTCCATTCTTATGGCGAATGCAGGAACACAACTTGGGCGAACTTCAAATAATCGTTTCGAGTAAGTATCTAATACTGTACAATAAACTGAAGGTTTAGTAAGAGAGTTTTTTTTGATATAATAAAAAAGTGACAACTGTTCTCTCCTAAGAGATAGTAAAGGCTCATAAGCATTTACATGCAAACTTTGGACATGAGAGGTGCAAAAGGCACCAGTGCACAAACGCAGTGCTTGATGGTGGATTGGATCCAGCATCTGAAGAGTAGTTTCTCGTGCAGAGCCCAAAACAATGCATCCATAATCCAGCTTTGAGCGGACAAGGGCCCTATAAATCATTAGCATAAAACATTTGTCTGCTCCTTAGGATGAGCAGCACAGTACCTTTAAAAGGTTCAAAGATTGTAGACATCTACACTTCAAACCGCACAAGTGTGGTAAAAACGTCAGTTTAGGGTCAAATGAAACTCCCAAAAACTTTGCCTCATTGACCATTAGGATTTAAACCCCATTTAAGTAAATTTCAGGGTCCAAGTGCAAACCAAGCCTTCGGCAAAAGTTGATGCATGAGGTCTTCTCTGTGTTAAAACTAAAATCATTAGTCTTTGACCAATTGTCTACGCGATTTAGGAAGATTTGCAGTTGTCTCTCAATAAAACTCATGTTGTTTGACTGACAGGAGATCTGAAAGTCATCCACATACAAAGAGTGTTTCACACTAGGAGGGAGACAGTTAGCTATGCTGTTTATTTTAATTAGGAACAGAGTCACACTCAAAATAGAGCCTTGAGGGACACCTTCTTCTTGCGTGAAAGGCCTAGATAAAGTGTTGCCAATCCTGACTTGGAATCTTAGATTCTGTATAAAGTTTTTTATATAAATTGGCAAATTACCCTGCAATCCAAATTGGTGTAGATCACGAAGTATCCTGTATCGCAAACAGCGGTCATAGGCCTTCTCTATATCGAAAAACACAGACACTAAGTGCTGTCGTCTAACAAACGCTTCGCGTATAGATGTTTCAAGATTTACCAAGTTATCAGTGGTACTTCTGTTCCTACGGAAACCACTCTGATGTGGTCAAAAGTATTCCTTTTTCTCTAAGAAATACATTAGACGCCTGTTTACCATTCTCTCGAAAAGTTTACAGAGACAACTCGTCAGAGAGATTGGTCTGTAATTAGAGGGATTCTTGTGATCTTTACCTGGTTGGGAGGAAGATAATGATAGATAGCCTCCAAGAGTCGGGTAAAGTATATTCTGTCCACATTCTGTTAAACAGATTAAGGAGATTTATAAGAGAATTATTTGAAAGATTTTTAATCATGCTGTAGTGGATTTTATCCGGGTGTACAGCAGTATTCCCTGAGCGAGAAATTGCTGTATGTAGTTCTATGCTGGTGAATAACACATTATATTCCTCATTAGATGAAGAATGGAAATTTAAATATTGTTTTTCACTTTGGGCTTTATAAGCCTGAAAATTTCTTGAATACATAATATTGCTAGATGAAGAGGAAAATCTTTCACCCAAGATATCAGCAATACCCTGTATATTGCTGATTATTGTGCCATTATTTTCCAGCATGGACAGAGATTGAGAAGCATATTTCTTATTGATTTTATCCCAGACTGCTTTTGAGCTAGTGAAAGATGTTATGCTAGAAACATACTTCCTCCAAGAATCCCTTTGGCTTTGCCTTCTTATTCTTCTGGCATTAGCCTTTGCTTTTTGAAAAGCTATCAAATTTCTAGCAGTGGGGTATCTTCTAAAAATTACCCAGGCTTTCTTTTGTGCTTTAAATGCTGCTTTGCAATTCTGGTTCAACCATGGTTTCGGATGCTTTGGGTATCTTGTTGATGTCTTTCCCATTATTTTTTCAGCTGCCTGAATAATACTGGAAGTGACAACTTCAACTGCGTCATTGATATCAGCAGTATTGACCATACCCTCAGTGATGTTGGCCATAGAAGAAAAAACAGGCCATTCGGCTGTTTCCAATTTCCATCGTGGTGGATGGGCTGTTTCACACCGTTCTCTGCCTTGATATTTTAAAAATATTGGAAAGTGGTCACTAGAGAGTGGATTAGATCCAACCTTCCATGAAAATGCTGAAAACAGGTTTGGACTCGCTAATGATAAATCAGTGGCAGTGAATGTTCTTGTTGGGGTATGGAAGTATGTCACATCTCCAGTATTAAATACATTTGCTGATTGCCTATGAGTCGTTGAATGGCTCTGCCTCGATGGTTAATGTCAGGACTGCCCCACATAGGATTGTGACCATTAAAATCATCGAGTAAAATAAATGGAGTCGGCAGCTGTTCAACCAAGGCATCCAATTCATCCTCATTGACTCTGACATCTGGTGGCAAGTATATAGAACAAACTGTGACAGTTATGCCAATAGAAATTCTGACTGCCACAGCTTGCAGCTTTGTTGTTATTTGTACCAGTAAGGATGGGATGCAATTTTAAACCAGTATAGCCACACCTCCATTGGCACGGTTGTGGCTATAATCATCCTTGTGGTAGACATCAAATCGTTTTAAAGAAATATTTTTCTCAGGTTTTAGATGGATTTCCTGGAGTGCCATGCAGAGAGATTGGGTAGATGATATCAAGTGTTTAACGTCAGAGAATTTTTTGCAAAAACCACGACAGTTCCATTGGGTTACTTTATAACCCATTATGTGTTTGAGACAGCATTCTTTGTGAAGGTATCCCTTTTTAATTTTACGGCGGTTTTTCTTTTGGAGGTGACGTTGGTTGTGTCACCACCATATTTCGTCACTAGTACAATCCTGAATGTTCGTTAGAAAGGGTTGAACAGTTGTTTTTTTAGATTACAGGACTCGATGTAATTATGCATCATCAACCGATCTTGAAGCACTCTATGGGGATGCAGACACATCCACATGCAATACACTTGATACATTAACCACAGATATATTGGTGAGTGAACAAGGCAACTTTTGTGATGGTGTTGCGACCTATTGTGATGGTCCATCAACTTCCATAGGTGACAATAGATCAACTCTCCTGACAAATACCAAAAGAAAAAAAAGCACAGAAACTGAAAGATGCTATATTTTCAAATATCTGCATGTACCACACCAAAGTAATTGTTATCTTAAAATTTTATATTGTTCAGAAGTAGCATTGTAAGTCAAAAGTCACTTGTCAATCAACTCGTTACTTTTTGCTTGATCTGGCAAACACACTAGCATCATCGATTACAATTTGTTGATTTATTGTTCTGCCATTTTTAACTGCTTTTACTATTTGCCCATTCTTTTATTCAGCAGTGCACTGAGCAGTTGCTGCCGAAAATAACGTTTTTGCTGCTGACGGTTGAAAACACTTTTGCTGAAGAAAGAGCTATTTCAAAATGGCTGATATAAACAATGANGGGCGGCTTAAAAGGGGTTAACTGCTTTTACTATTTGCCCATTCTTTTATTCAGCAGTGCACTGTGCAGTTGCTGCCGAAAATAACGTTTTTGCTGCTGACGGTTGAAAACACTTTTGCTGAAGAAAGAGCTATTTCAAAATGGCTGATATAAACAATGATTTTCTTTCTGCTATATTTACATGCATTTGTTCAATATTATTAGAAGAAAAGCCATTAACTTCAATACTTTGATTTGAAAAAGTTGGATATAACTGATGCTCTTCTTGATACACTTGTAATAGAAAATGGAAGTGGGGTTTATTTGATTCATTTACACGTCTAGGGTTTCATAGGGTTTATTTGATTCATTTACACATCTATTTGAGGAAAAAGGTATCCCAATGAGCAACATCATAGGTTTTGCTAGCGATAATTGTTCCACAATGCTTGGTACAAAAAATGGATTCCAAAAACTGTTGAAAGATGTCTTACAAACATTTTCGTGCTTGGATGTGTTTGTCATTCATTTTCACTATGTGCAAGCCATGCAGTGTCAGTGTCGGTGTTGCCATCATCCTTAGAAGCATTTCTAAAAGATGTTACGTCCTATTTCAGCCAAAGTAGCAAGTGTGAAAATGACTTTGCCTCAATTCAAGGTGTTCTTCAAATTGCAAAACATAAAATTCCAAAGCTAGCCCAAACATGATGGCTTTCTAGAGAACAAGTAATTCCCAGAATTTTGGAACAATGGGAAGCTCTGATCCTATACTTTCAATCTGAATCTAAAACTGGCAAAGTTGATGGTGCATGTAGAATATACAAGACACTTGTCAACACTGGGACAAAGCATATGCTCTGCTTCCTCCATTATGTCTTGGGCAAAGTTAACAATGTCAATTTAGAATTTAAATCTGAACACTTCAGGTTGCATAAATTGCACTCATTGGTGTCATTAGAGTACAAGAATATCTTGAGTTTTTTCATTAAAGAAGAGTATTTATTGCAAATGACTTTAGTGACTATTGATCCCAGAAAAAAAAAATTTCACAAACTGATAGATTTGTATCTTGGCAGAAGAACAATGGCCCTTATAGAAAAAGATCCAATTACCAATCTCAAATGTGCCCTCAGATTTAAAAATGACTTCTTGCAATTTTTGATAGAATTGTATGTCCAAATTAAGCAGCGATTTTCTTTTGATGAAAATAGTGTAATAGCAAAGTTGAAAACTTTAGATCCAAAAATTGTTTTTAGCCAGAATTGCTATATGTCTATCTCAAGTCTAGCTGCTAATTTCAAATCACTCGTGCCTGAGAACAAGTTGGATGAACTGGAAGACAAGTTTAGAAGCTCTCGGTTGTCCAAAGAACAATTGGGTTTTAGTGACGATATGAGAATACCAGAATTCTGGTATTCTTTGTGGGAAGTAAAGGATGGCCTAAATCAGCCTAAATATTTAAATTTGTCCAACTTCATGACAAACATGACTGTATTGCCCCATTCGTCTGCATGGAGAGAAATTTTTCCCAAGTGAATAGCACAAAACAAAGTTTACTAATAAATTAAATGCATCAACAAGAAGAGATAAAATATTAGCAAAACATCATCTAACAAAACACAGCAATTCAGGAATTACTTGACAACCGAGAAAAGAATTAATAAAAGAGTAGCAAGATGGGATGGTATATAAGAGATATACTGAGCAACTAAAAAGAGCAAAAGATGACCACAAAATAATGATTTATGAGTGCAACGATGATGATTAAATTAAACTATTTTATCGTAAGTATTATTTACTTTGTATAATATTATTGCAAGCTTAAACAATATATTTAGTCTTTGCACTAAAAGCAAATACATTCCTATTCTAGACCAGCTTGGTTTTTTTACAAGATGTTGATTTTTTTAGAGAGCCAATCTTGGTTTTTTAAAAAATTCCTGATGGCATCCCTGTCTCAGCCATCTCAAGGAACTTCTAAGTACCACCACCAGATCAGAGTTGCCAGACTGGGCAACAAGTAGCGGATTGAGCAACTTTTTAAGTGCCTTTGCTACAAAAATTTCAAATTTCAGCATGCATCAACACAGTAAATAAGTTTCTAGTCCATCTCTGTTTTTAATTCTATCGAAATTAGATTCAAAAAAGTGAATTTCACTTGTATTCTTAAAAGAATTTTTTTAAAGAAAAATTTTTTGGAATTTATTAATTTTAATATTTACAATAACCGATCCCATTGTTTTATTTTTATTATTTATTTACTATTTAATGAGTTTTATGAACAGAAAAATGGGAATAGAGGAATTGAGGCAGCAGATGGCCAGATTGGAGATCGATAGAAATTATTTTAAGTGTTTCTTACGTGAACAACAAACTCCTACAACGTTACAGTTGCCAGAATCTATTAAGTCCAGCATCCGGTATGGAGATATAATCAAAATAGAGAGACTAATTATTAAATCAGTAATAAAGAAAAAAAGGTAAACAAATATTTTTACTGTCTTTAAATAAAAAATTTGATTATCCCTTAACTGCAGAGAAAGAAGAATAATTAAAGAAATTAATTATAAATTTAACAGATGTTGAAGTACCAAAAAATTATCTATGTTTATTATCATATGGAAGTAATATGAATTTACCTATATTTACAAAAACAATTGAAGTTGTGGCCAAAATGGAAAGGATTATTCAATGAATCTCAGGAAAACAAAATAATAAAAATCAGTTAAGGAAAAATTTAAGTAGAGATCTTCAAAACTATAAAGGAAAAGGTGCGTACAGAGATTATATGTTAGATAAAAAGGCAATTAAAATAACTAGAAAAACAAATAGATTAATTAAGTTTTTTAAAAATAAACAAATTTCTATTATTAAAGCAGATAAATCTCATGCGCTTATAATTATTAAAAATTCAGACTTACAGCAAAAGAAAAAACAAATAGTAGCTACAAATGAATACGAAATTTTACCCAGTGATCCAACGGAAGACATTAAAAATAGTGGGACAGATTTTTAGACCATTAGTGGATTTTAAATACTCAGTACTATATAATTTGGAACATTATATAAAAAATTATTTGCAGTATATACCTGACTCTAAATATACCATAAAAAATGCAGATCAATTAATCTCAAGATTAATGTCCGGTCAAAGTAAGAAATCTTATAGATTCTTAAGTTTGGATGTAAAATCTATGTATCCATCAATAAACTGGAACATTATTATAAAAAGTTTAAGTAAATATAATTTACCTTGTCACATTTTAGAATTTATACAGTTTACTTTTAAAAATAATTATTTTAAAATTTCTACAGAACATTATCGTCAAAGAGACGGGATAGCAATGGGATCAGTGGTCAACCCAAAACTTGCAGATATTTGCATGTCATCATTGGATGAAAAAATCTTCTAGTTTCAAAGTATTGTTTTTTATACTAGATATGTGGATGATATATTAATTTTGTACGACTCAAATGACACCACACCTGAAAACATCAAGATTTACGCAAATAGTTTAAATATTAACATTAAATTTACTTATGAAGAAAAAAGAAACTATGAAATTAATTATTTAGATTACTTTGGGACATTATATAAAAAATTATTTGCAGTATATACCTGACTCTAAATATACCATAAATTACAAGACAAAATGAAACATTGCTGTTTCGTAAGTACGAAAAAATATGTAATAATAGTAAGGTGATTAATCATAAATCATATAGCCCTATAGGAATAAAACAAAATGTATTTTTGATGGAATTAAGGAAAATATTTAATAGAACAACATTAAAAAATATATTGAAATACAGACTAAGAACCTTTTTAAAAA